CCTGTCGGGGCTTCTCTACTTCGTTCTGCTGCCGTTGCCTGCCTTTTTAGGCTTTGATCGAGGCCCTAAATAGTCCATGCACATCTTTGGCAAGAGTCTTATCACTGGTGAAAGTGAAGCTTTAATTAGTAGTTTAATAGCAAATGAAATTGCTTTTCAGTTTGTCTTAGCCGGTCACGTATTTACTTACATTGTAATTTCAGGTTAAGTGTGCCTGAAAGTACGCCTTTCACAGCTGTCTTGAAGTTTGCAGCAGAAGAAGTAAGTAGAAAGCGATGACGTTGTTTTCTAACTTTCTGAACATTCCCAAAAGCAAAAGCTTTTTAATTGTAAAATACAGTGGTTAATTCAACACAAAGAATGCCCTTGTTACATACATGTGGACACAAGCTTTACTGGTGTCAATGGGGGCCTGCCAAAACATTCAGATCCTAAACTTGGCAATTCTTGCACAACTTGCACATCAACAGCAGGTATTGACACACTGCCTGTTGTTCTTTGCAATTAAATTAAATCACTTTATATCAATAACGTAAAAATTTGTGACAGTTAACATAATTAAAAGATACTGCTGTTGAATATTTACTATTTTAAACTGTTTATGTAGAATATCCAGAAAATTCTTTAGAATTATTCAGGAATTTCTTAAACTCTTCTCACATTCAGTTCCAGTAATCGCTGATGTTGGAAGATACCTAATTTAGATTGCAGAAGGTATTAAGATTAGGCGTATGATTAGGGCTAGATTAAAAAAACAGACTTAACTGAATAAAACTAGGATAACGTGTTCTTTGGCTTCTGGGTGTTTGATCTTTCATGTGGAATCCAAAACCAGTAGGTGCCTAAATTGCCTATGTAATGTATTTGAAAAAATGCATCCTGTTTGTTTCAGATTAAGTGTACAAAGATTAAGAGATGTTCATCTGGGTGTAAACAGTAAAATAAAGTGCTCAGAAGCATGATGGCGTTTTTCATCTAGTCAGCAAACAGATTCAGCTGAGAGTCTGTTCTTGCAATTACCCTTCTGTCTTTTTAGGAAAACTTGGGAAATTTTGGCTTATTGAAAATTTCATTTGTTCAAGCATTGGAATTGTAATAAAATAAATAGTTAGGAGAGGTAATGGACTACATGTCTTGAGTCTCCTTATGTTGTTAGTGTTATACTGCTATGTGACAGAAGTTTTTAGTGGAAACACAGCTTGTGGGGGGAGATTGAGGATTGTGTGTTTGTTGTAACTTTGCTTGAACAGACCAATATACAGAATAATAAATGCTGTTAAAGGTATTTGCTGATTTGATTGCTTTTTTTTACTGCTTTTTTTCCCCAATTATTTTTAATCTGAACTAATGCAGCTGTGCCCACACATAGACACCTAGACTGAAAAGTCTGGTAGACTAGTATGAGGGACCAGGAAAGATTGGAGGGGGACTGAGTAGTTGGAGACACCAGGAGTGAGCGGCCATTTCTGGTGGGAGGGTTGCCTTCAAACCTGTTTGGTCAGTGATAGGGTCCTCTGTCAAGTGGATTTAGAGAAGAACTAATTACTTAAATATTCACATTTAGCAAACTGTTCTTGTAGTTGATGTGAATATTTTGAGCATCCATGGGAGTTTTGCTGTTTGACCTCAGACCACTCTAGATCAGCACAGTTTTATAGAGTAATTATAGCCGTGTTTTGGAGGGTCACAAGAAAGATTGAAAATGTGTGATGGAATGTAAAAGAGCCCAGTGGTGATAATGATCTATAGAGTAATTCCATTAAATGCCTATACACTAAACATTTTCTTTTAAAGAAAATAGAAAACACAAGGAACACTTTATTAATTCCCCCCCAAAACCAGTTTAAAGCACTTTTGTATTAGCCTGTGTCAGTGTTAAATAAAAATTAATAGCATGAACATATGATTGATTTTTCAGAATATGGCACTGGTTTTAGTTGTCATTGCTGATGTGTTACTGAAGGTTTTTACATCTCTATGAGATCAGGCAGAACTAAATGCTTTTTAAACAGAGAGCGAAAAAGACTGTTAAGACTCTTCCCCAGGAATGAAGCTCCTTTGATCCTTTGTGAACTAGCATTGAAAAGATTGAGAGAGAATTTTTTTCTTAAATAAATGGGTTTTGTTCCTTGAACTGCATAGCTTAGCATTAACTGAGGCTGTGTATTGTGATTCAGATACCAGTTTCACAGTACCTTCTGTGAAACATATAAGGAAAAATCCAACTGTAGCCCTGGATTTTGGACAAAGATGTTAGTTGGTCTCCAGGGGAAGTGCATTATCTCCTCAGTGATTAAAGCTCTTGGTACAGAGAAGGATTTAAGTTTTGGCTGTTTAGCAAGTTTCTACTGAGTCATTTTTTTGAGTCTTAAGGTTTGGCCATATCATAACCAGAATTCCCCTGGAACAGTAGAACTGTAGCCATGATGTTGAAAGGTTGTCTTACATACCAAGTTTCAGTTGCAGTGCTTTGTCAAAGATTACAGTTTTCTGAATTACTTTCATTGCACAAAACAAGATGTGTTTCTTTTTTTTTTTTTTTTTTTTTTTGGAAATAACTGAAATACATAACAGATCTTTTTCTGTCGTTTCTAGCATGTCACATAACGTGAAAGTTCATTGTACACAGTTCACGATTGGCAGAGCTGGAAGGGAAAGAAAACTGGATTGTTAAATGGGGAGGAATCAGGAAGTCTCAATCATTTGTATCAGTCTCGGTCCTTCCCAATATATACATTTGGCAGTGATAATTTGGATAATGCAAATTTAACTCCTTATTTTTTATTTTCTCTGTTTCTCTTACAGATTATACATAAAAAATGGAAATTGAAATGTAGAGTATTGGAAACAGTACTCTCTTCAGTTTTTATCTATTTATAGTTCTTTCCACAATTGTCACAGTTTATTGTGACAGTGTTAATGTTCTCATTCACAATATGTGGTGTCTATTGGGTTTTTTCATTCAGCTGTTAGAGCTATTTGGTACATATCTCAGGTGTACATTTGCAGTACTTACAACAAAACTTCCATACATTTGTGGAATTATTACTAAGAGAGTCATCCATTTCCATTATATAAAGTTAAATTTTATTCTTTCATGAACATGTATATTTTTGAAACTATTATTTTTACTGTTCTAATGTTACTCTTGATAGATTGGTGCTAAAATACTATGGTTTAACGCACTTAAGTGCTACTCATTGCACAAAAAGGAGATGAGCTTATTACTGTAGGGGATTTTTGTCATCATTGTAAAAAGTGAGAAAGGGATATAATTGTTGGTATATGATTGTCATCTTTTCCTTATAGTTTGACTGTAGATATTGACAAATGTATTTCCTGGCACTGGAGAAAATGTGGCAGCCTCAGTTATCAATTTATAAGGTTTTTAAAGCAAACAATCTCTTTAAAGTGTGTGAGTTTGGGACTGGATGTTACCCAATTTGGTTTCAATTAGCAAGCCAGGGATTATCTACTGAATACAGAACTTCTTTGCTACTTGAGTATCCATTTGACTTTGTATCACAGAACGCTTGTATATTTTCAGCATGGGAAACATAAGCTTAGCAGCCACAAGAAGGATTTTTGATTTAAGTAGTGAACCATATTGCACCAAATTATATGTAATTATTCCCACCAGTAGTTTCCCTTTCTGTATTACACTTGTGATGATTTTCATGTGCTGAGTGTATAGCTGACAACTGTTGCTGTTTGGCCCAGTATTTTGGGTTAAGATAACAAAGTGGTTATTCTCTTCTAACACAGTACAATATGAAGCAATAAGAGGACCGTAACTAGTGCTTCACTGACTGGTTGCCACACAATTCTCATGTGCACCTAGTGTATCAGCATCAGATAGATTCTCCTACTGAAAAAGAGTAGAGATGTCCATGCTTCTGTGAGTGATCCATCCTTTTCATGCATTGAGAGATGCAAGAGACAGAGAAGAAATGAGAAGAGGCACTTAACATTCTAGAAGTTACATTTTTGGGTCTTTTCAGATGATTTAGGATGAAAGATCCATGATATCACTTAGTTACAATGGAAACCTGCTTGTTGAAAAATAACTTAAGTATTAATTTGAGCATATATGTCCTGCTCGTTCAGGATTTTTTTGTACTTTATTCCTTTACTTTTTGAATTGGAGGTGGACTTACTCTAGAAGGCAGGACTTAATATGATTGACATTAATCCCACTGTTCATACATTATAAATTCATTTTCTCCTATTATGTAAAAAAAAAAAAAAACCATAAAAACCAAACCCATTACAAGGTTTCTCCTTAGACTGCTAAGTCAGGATTCCCAAAGTTACTGAACTTGAGAATTAAGGCTTGCTTTCTTCAGCATGTGATATGTATACATTAGTTACTATGAGATGGCATATTGTTTTTTACATTCTTACTGTTAAATATGTAGCTTCTGTTCTATCAACTTCATTATTCAAATCTTGCTCTGAAGACAAATTGTTACTTTCCTCATGGCCTTTCTACAGTGACACTGGAATCTAACTTATCTTTTGCAGAAATTACTGTTTTCATGTCACCCTGCAAGATGAGGAGGTGACATGATTTACCTGCTATGGATAAAAAGCTAAGAGAGAATAAGTTAAAAAAATTCTGCGGATTTTGTGTGTCTGGAGATAAAAAGAGCCAGTTTTGCAGTATATTAATTATTAAGTACTGTATTCAAGCATGGTTTCTGTGAACTTTAGCTGTTGCTGTTAATGCATAGTGTTTCTTCAAATCAGACCTGGAAATCGTAAGTTGAGCAATCAGAAAATGAGGAAAGCAGAACTAATGAATGCCATTGAAAGGCATGGCTGAAGTGACTTGTTCAGCAGATGGGAGAGCTCTGCAGTTCTTCCAGGGAAGCACGCAATGTTAACATTCATAGTTAGCTGCCCTTTTTCATATGCAATCTAGAGAGGAGGATGAAGTGCTTTGTGAGGGGGTTTCACTGATACTTGCTCATTGCAGAGACGCCAGTCTTTTACATTGAGGGTTGTTCATTGTGCTAAGTAAATGAAGCCCGAGGAGCAACCTTTGGTCCTCAGACCAGCCAAGTAGCGCTGATTGACTTGCACCCACCCTACTCTTTCTGTCCTGTGTGGTCCAACCACATGAGATAGTGCAGGATTTCTGTCTGGCCCTGCCTGGCTCCCTGTAGTCCTGAGAAGCAATTATTTTTGGCTTCCCCATCTTAGTTCAGATCTTCTGAAATAGTTTGAAGCCTGTATGCAATGCAACCCCACCTGAGTAGGGCTTTTCATGTTGTAAAACTGACCACATATGATGTGCATGGAGCTGGGGTACCATGGAGACATATGGTTGTGATTGAGGGTACAAAGTCTGCTTAGGCTGGTGTCAGAAATCTGAGGAGGGAGCCAGATCTGATGCCGTGCTGTTAGTGCTTCCTTTTGTAAGCAAATCCTGGAGTGAACTCTTCTCTTGGAGCATTGCAGTTGGAGAGGTCCCAACAGAGCCAGGGAGGAAGCTAGGAAATTGGTTAAAATTAACCAAGATTAGCTCAAGCTAGTTCTTGGTTAACTCCTATTAGACATAACAGGTATGCTTCTTAGAAGCTCATTTCCATACATGTTTTAGGTATTCCATTATTTAGTATAGCAAGACCTAGTATTTCTTAACTTTGCAGATGCTTAACTCTTATATTTTATCTAATGGATAATAATAATTAATTTAATTAGTTGTTTAGTACTGCAGCTTTGACATTCTGTACTGAGGTGTCTAATCAACTTTGACTTTAAACGTTTATTTTTCTTTATCTATAAATCTGAGGGGAATCTTTTCTCATAATTTTTTTTGTACCTGAACCAGCTAAAATTATAATTGCTTTGAATATTCCCCATATATTTTCTGCTTTAACTATGTCTCATGTTATTTTGTCCTATTTCCTTTAGTCTTATTTCCTTTATGTCTTAATTCTTTTAGTTCAAAGTTCCCGCAGCAACAAGTGCCATTATAACAAATGGTAAGAATATGGTTCATAAATTTTTTTTTAATAGTTTTTGTATTGTTGTTTCAGTGAAAGGGTATTGATAAAAGCAAAAGTGTCTTTTCTTTCACAACCTCTACAGGCTGCAAACTTAATTTAATAACGTTGCAGCATTATTTAGATTGCTTGTGCATGGCATGAAGGTATTAAACCAGTAATATTATTTATTTGGTTTTGTCCGAACATACAGCATGGATTTTCCATGTTGATGTTTCTTGTTAGTTCCTGTGATAAGGGTAGTTTTGATTATAGGAAATAGCTGCCTGAAGACCTGATGTAATATTATATCTTGTTGGTATATTATATTTTTTGAGCTGTAAGTTTATTGTAGTAAATTGTATTACCTCTGTTTCACCTTCCCCTCTTTTTTCCTCTCTTTTTTTTTTTCCCCCTAGATGGAATAGGAATAAACCCTGCACAGACAGCAGGTAAGTTATTATTTATGAAGCCCAGCATAAAAAACCTCAGTTATTTTTCTTTTAAACTAATGCATAGCACTCAGGGTTGATTTATATTTTAGATTTTGATTTCTTAAATGGGAGAATCATTACCCAGTAGTTGGAAACTACAGTCAGTGTAGTGTGTAAAAGGTTAAATCCACAGGACTATTGTTCAACATTTGTTTATTTAGGTCTATGAAAAAATGAGGCGCTTCTGATCTTCAGTGCTTAGCTATTTAGTGTACAGTTTTAAAAAAGTAATACTGTATTACGTGTTACTGAAATAACAAGTAATAGCTATATTTTTTTCCTCACTATACGTAGTCCAGTAGTATTTGCTATTTTAGCAGCACTTCTGATGATACATGTTTAAAAAAATACTACTTGGTTTTAGAAGAGGAATGCTAGGTACTTTGGAAAGCATGTTTTCAAGGAGAAAGGATCTTCTTGCCGATAGCCCTCTTGTTCTCACCAAGGGACTCCAGGTGACAAATCTCTGATTTCAACTGTGGAGGCTTGCTATGAGACAAGAGTTTATCTCTGTCACAGGAAAGTGTAAAGCTCTTCTGCATCACCTCCTGAAATACATGGAAACGTAGTACAGATGTTGAATAGTACTAATAATGAACTGTTGTCTGGAAGCCAACTTCTGTGGACTTGTTCTTGGAATGTTGTACTTTTAAATTAACTTGGAAATTATTACAGTAATCTAATGTTGACCCATTTGAGACAAGAGTTACAGTGGAGTATCTTGTTAGGGAAGAAATGTTGATAACTTTCTACTATAAATACAAGCCAGCAGTGTGCCCAGGTGGCCAAGAAGGCCAACAGCATCCTGGCTTGCATCAGAAATCGTGCAGCCAGCGGGATTAGGGAAGTGATCATCCCCCTGTACTCAGCACTGGTGAGGCCACACCTTGAATACTGTGTCCAGTTGTGGGCCCCTTGGTACAAGAAGGACATCGAGGTGCTGGAGCATGTCCAGAGAAGAGCAACGAAGCTGGTGAAAGGTCTAGAGAACAAGTCTTATGAGGAGTGGCTGAGGGAACAGGGGTTGTTTAGCTTAGAGAAGAGGAGGCTGAGGGGTGACCTTATCGTTCTCTACAACTACCTCGAAGGAGGTTGTAGCGAGGTGGGTGTTGGTCTCTTCCCCAAGCAACAAGACAAGATGAAATGGCCTCAAGTTGCACCAGGGGAGGTTTGGATTGAGTATTAGGAAAAAATTCTTCATTGAAAGGGTTATCAAACATTGGAACAGGCTGCCCAGGGAAGTGGTTAAGTCCCCATCCCTGGAGGGACTTTAAAGATGTGTAGATGTGGTGCTTAGGGACATGGTTTAGTGGTGGACTTGGCAGCGCTAGGTTAACAGTTAGACTCGATGATCTTAAAGGTCTTTTCCAACCTAAATGATGGCATGATACTAAGAAATAATAAAAATGGCTTTAGTGCTTGTGGAACACAATCATCCAGTGAAAACTGTGAATCTAATTTTATTCCTTCTTGCACATGTGATGAACAGTTGATGGAGGGAGACTTGCCACTTCTCTCTTTTATTTTTTTTTTTATTTTTTTTTTTTTTTGCATGAAGTCTCTGTCAGGTCTCATTCATTTGTGCCCCCTGTCTCCCAATTGTTGTTGAAGATACCACACCATTTTTTTTCAGATGTATAGAGAGAATAAGCAAGCAAGGCATTATCAGCATACTTAATTATGTAAGATAAATAGTATAAAGTAAATCCTTGCAGAGCACGTAATAGTATCTGATGGTTAGAAGAGCAATTGCTTGATGTTAGTTTGGGGAATTTCTTGGAGTTGTAAAAGGAACCATTTAAGTGTAGCGACCCATTTCTGAGGTCTGTGATTGCATCAACAGCATTTGAAAATGAAGATCAAGGGAGCATTTAGCTTTCTGCTCCACTGGAGGTTTCTGTCCTTCCTGGACTTGCCTTAGGACACCTGGATTATGGTTTGACAGGTGTACTACCTCAGGCAGACTCCTCAACTGGTGCTGTTCTCATCATGATCCCATGACCGAGTGTATTAAAAACATATACTACAACTAATTAACTTAGGTACTAGATCATCACCCCCATGTAAAGCCACATCTTCACATGACCACTCAAGAATACTTAGGCAAAACAGGTAAAGTCAGTTGCTTAAGTTAAAGTATACTTACGCTGTTCTCTTTGTCAAAAGCGTATTTTCATTTTGTATTATGTAGCTCAAATTAGTTGTAGCTTAATCCTGTAAAGTAAATGTGTTTAGGACTACTTGACTCCTGAATGAAAACATCTGTATGGTACTTCGTCATGCTTGCAGCTATGCATATTGAATTCACGCATCCAATTGATTTGCTTTACCTCTCCCAAGTTCTTATAAACGTTGAGGGGTTATTCAGTAGTATAGTAGTATAAGACAGCATCTCATAATCAAGGATCAGATAAATCAAAAGTATCTAGACACCAAATGTTTTCATCACAGTCTTATCTGCAAATGTAATATTAGGCACATGGTTTGCACATGGATTTTTTTTTTTTTTTTTTTAAACATAGAAGGTACCATTGCCCTGACAGTGCTGTGTGATGCTGCCCTTAAACTGGGGGAAAAAAAAAACCCACCACCCTCCCCCCAAAAGAACCCCAACCAAAAAAATGACCTACACCAAACCCGAGACCCAGACCAAAATCCCTCCGCAGTTTACAAGTAAACATGCATAATTTAGATATACTCTTATGTTCAGCCTTATTAGTTGGTATCTCAGAAGCTTGGTAAGGTAAAATGTACTTTTTTTTTTTCTTCTTTTTTTTCTTTTTTTTGTATATGTTAAAGTTTCTGTAGATTGAGCAGTTACTTTAGTCTTCAAAAACTTCCCAAAATAAGATGATCTAAGAATAAAACCTTAGTAATCCTTGGGGATTTCAGAGGTTTTGTACTGTTCCACTATTTCCCCACCTTTCTGAATAGAAGTTTTCCTCAAATGTGACTTTGTCTCATTCTCCCTGCATGATTCGATGGAGCAGGGAAAATGAAAGCTGAAAAAGCTAGGCTTAGCATTCCTGTATTGATTTCAATTTTAAATCCTTGATAGTTCAGGAAAGAGTATGCCATAACTTTAATAAAACCAGTGTGATATTAACGATGGAAACAGACTGAGAGGTGGGGTGAACTGCTGTCTGCGTGAGATGCAGCTGTGGCCTATTTTAAAATTTTAAAGTTTTATGACGGCCATTGCAGTATGGATACTTTTCATCTAGATTGGTGAGCTTGGTTCTCTCGTTTGCTGGTGTGACAGATTTGCATTCAGTGGGTTTTATAGATCTCTTCAGTATATGGTCTTGGGGCAGATCTCTAAAATCAGAACATCATCTGATAACACATTATTTTGAACTGATTTTCTAATGCTTGTTATGTTGAATAAGTAGAATGGTGTCGATCCTGATCTATGTGCCAGAAAAGCAAATTTTGAAAAAGGGTAGCTTTGGTCCAATATGCTAATAACTTGAACAAAAGTTAAATATCTTTATCTTTTTTATGAGAGCACTCTACATCCATGAAATGGGGTGCTTGGAAGAGAAATACAGTTATTCTGTTTTTACAAGTCAATGCAAAGATGAATAAGAATAGGTAGATATTATTAAAACTTGATATTGTGGAATTGCATATAGTCTGTTTTATGTAGTGGCAGTATGAAGTTAAAAAAAAAGTTCAATATAGTAATTAAATAGTGCATCACTTTTTAGCAATGTGATTTCATTTTCAAATATTACATTTAATGGCAAAAAATAACAACCTGAATGACAGTCCTGAATACACGCAGAAAATATTCTAGCTGTCTAAGTATTAGAAACTTCTAATTTTTATGCTGTGTCCTCTTGAAAAGATTATCACAATTAAGACTATACAGTAACAAATATGAAGTTCAGGATTTTTTTATGCGAAAATGAGACTGATTTATGCTTGGATATGTGGAGGGCCTTCCTAAAAGAAAAGTACAGTTGAGGTTCTGAAGTTAGAAGCAGATAAATACTGGACAAAGGAAAGAATTTAAAATTAGTATATGCATGAATGACCTCAAGATAAAAAAAATAATTATGGAGAAGTAAAACTTCATTTCCTGGCCTTGAAATTATGATGGCATATAAGTGAAATCAGACATTCATGTATGGAACTGCAAAGTTTGAAAGGCGGTAGCTTGCAAGTCTGATTAGATTACTTTGGTTCTGGTATTTTTATTTAAAAAATAAGGTCTCTTTAGAGTAAGAGGGATAAGATGAAATTCCATGTAAACATAAAAAACGTATTTCTCGTGTACTAGAGGAATTACTACAAAGATGTTAAGCACTGACCTAACATTATTCTTTAAATGTTTGTACTTCTTAAGGTAGCATTTTTATTTGGTTGGTTTAACACATTCTGTTTTGTTTGTTTGTTTAGGAAATGTATTTCTAAAGCATGGTTCAGATCTACGACTTATTCCCAGAGATCGAGTTGGGAGTTCTTAACGTCTGCTGAAAGCTTTGGAATAAGTGACATTGCCATGCAGCAAAGGTCTATTTATTTTGGAACTCTGAAATGCAACTAATGAATTGGCCTTTTTTAAAGCTAGCAAAAATTATTCCCATGATTTTTTTTTTTTTAAACAAAGATAAGGTTTCATTTTCTTATTAAAATATATTAACTCATGCACTGATTCTTCCTTGACTAGTAGAAGAACGGGCTGATTCCATGTTATGTTCCTGAAAGAGAGATGGATTTCTCTGTAGATGTTAATGATACCACAAGGGTAAACAGACAGCCACGATCAATAGATATTTAAAATACTGGATATTGTTGAGCCTACTTTGTGGAAGGGGGAACTGTGTTATGATTTTGCTGCAAAGGAATTGTTCCTACTGACTGCTAAAAGTTTTTCTTTTTTTTTTCCTTTTTTTTTTTTTTCTGAACTTACTTCCATGTTTAGAGGAACAGTTTCCACATGGTTCAAGTATTATCCTCAAATAGAAGGGAAATTTCAGGGGTTTATGACTCAAATAAGTAAATAACTGCCAAATGTTCCAAATTAATTAAGATTTAATTGCTGCAAATATTCTAGTCAAATGAGAGAACAGAGGTTTCTATGTGTTAAAACTTCATTTGATGTGAAGTGAAATTAAATGCAGTTTCAGAGAATTTATGAGACTAAATCTCCTCTCATGAAGTGCCATCAGCTGAGGACTGCAGCGTTAATTTGGGAATCTGTAGGTACTGGTCAAATATGTCATTCCTTTTTCAGTAAGTTAATATTGGTTCTTTCTAAAAATCTTGTTTTGTCACTGCGTGTTACATGAGAAACAGCATAGAATTCACTGAAATGTTAGTATTCAGATTATATGCTTCTTGTTTATAAATTGCCAGGGATAAACTATCAGTTGTGTATTTTAATTAGAGAAATTGCTGCTTTTCTTGAACTGGTAATCTACTTTGTGATTTAATATATCTGGCAAAATCTTACCCTGTTTTTTCTGCATTTTTTCTGTCCTACTGAGTTTAACAGAAAGAACAATGGGCAATGTAGTGCTTGGTTAGATGGGTATTGTCACAAATACAACTGTCCTGTGTTCAGATAATGTGTCAGATAGTGCAGAAGTACAAAATGCCCTTCTGAGTGGGTGTAAATTGAGTACATAGAGAAAAACTCTTCTGCAAGTGATGCTTGACTATAAACATTTTCCAGCTCTAAGATGAATTGTAAAATTTTGGATTTTCCTTTATTTTAATAAACAATTGTATGAAAAAAGTGCAAACTTTGTTCCTCTCTCATATTCTTAATTAGATTTTGACAGTAATTAAAAACTTTTCCCTTTAACTTTCTAATCAACATGCTTTGAGATTCATTTCAAGCCAAAGGATTCTTCATATGCGGAATTCTGTAGAACACTGCGCTTAAAGGGAGAGTGCATAGTTTCTATTAATCTAATGCCACAATATAACGAGGATGAGCCAAATTAATTCCTTGTAATTTTTGTCTGCAAATCTCTTGACTGAATACCTGAAAAAAACAAAAAAACACCTGATACTGGAATATAACAAACAGGGTTTTTTTTCTTCTGTCTAAAGGTGCAATATAGTTTTCGAAAAGCCATCATGGTTAAATGCATATTGAAACTAAGATGCTTTGATGTTTATGTAAAGGAGGATTACATAAAAATAATTTCTTACACTGTTACTTAGGTAATAACATAGATAGCATAAAGTATTTGTTTGACATACTGTATTGCAAGTAGTTTGTGTAACGTGCAAAGGATCTGTTCATTTGGAACAATAACTGGTCTTTATAGTACTTTCTGTATTCATTGCACCTGTGTCTCAATACGGTCTCTAAAATCTGAACATAACTTTTCCGTTTGGTAAAGAGGCTTGATTTCAGTGGTAAAGTGTACTTAACAGATGTTTGCAAGTTGATTTGAGGTTTACAAGTTCATTTTGTTATGTCCAAGTCATATTTGACATGGTTGTATAGGAAAAATTTAAGTTTAGAACCAGACTTCCTAGGGCTTGGGAGTCATCATAAGATTATGAAGAGTGCTGTACTCTCAGACTGGTACTGTTTTGTCTAACCCACCAAAGGCATACTTTGGAAATCAACTCTACCTGGAGTTTATATTGTCTTTGGCTCTGGTTATAACTTGACTGATGTTAAATGAAAGACTTCCGTTGTTTGTGATGAGCTTTGTCACACCTTTGCTGGTCAGCTTAAAGGGTCTTTTTTTCTGTGTTTTACATTTGTAAGAGGATGGCTGGTTTATGTTACAAAGCTACTCTGTGAAGAGAAATTTTGGCAGAATCATAAAGCATTCATGTGAAAAGTCCCAACAAAACTTTTAAAGAGCTGTAATCATTCTTTTGGTTTATACAACATTATAGAAGTCTTACTTTTCTCAAATCTCTTATTTGATAGAATTTGAAGATATCATGGAGATTTTTCAGGGAGGGAAGCAGAATGATCTGAAGTATAGAAGAACTGGAAGACTTAGGAAATGGCCCTGGTAATAGTTCCATCAGTGCTATGGCTTTCTTCCTTGTGTTCCCAAGCCACAAAATCCAGTTTTTTTCTTGTTTGAGATTAAAAGACCATTTTCCTCTCTTGTTGCTACTAAATAATAACCATAAAAATTGTTGACAGCAGGTCTCAAAAGTTGGGAATTTTTCTTCTTTGTGTTTAGGTTGATGGTGAAAACCCAGCTCCTGCTGCTGCATCAGTGATGCAATGAGCAGTTGGAGTGAGAGAAGGAGCTGTGCCAGTACGACTGCAGAATGTTAGTGGATTCTGAAGGTGCTGGGAGCACAGCAGTCCTTTGTATGGCAGCATGCAGGTGGCCATCAAATGGAGCACTTTAACAGGGCAGTGGAAAAAAACTAAATCCTGAGTCATCCTAGTAGTGCTGTGGAGACTGTGTTTCAGTGATTCTGGCAGGAGCGCTAAGCTCCAGCTAGGTAAAATTCAGTCCATGTGCAATACATAGCGCTCAGATTTAAATACAGTATACCCAACTATACATCTCAGTAGTGAGTTTCAGCCACTGTTCCTACTGATTGAAGGTAAATACCAGGCTGTATTCACAAAAGCTAGCATGATCTTTTTGAGGCTAATCTCTGCAGGCTGTTTCTTGAAGTTAGTGGAAGTGAGGTTCCTCCAGAGAGAGATTCAGAGTAGCTAAATGAATCTTCAGTTCTGAATCGCCCTCTGGAGGAACCTTTCTCTCTTTACTGACTAGAGAAAGCCATTAAGGCATTATTAGCCTGCAGGGGCTGATGTTAACCTTTGTGAATACCGTCCCCAACAGGTACTCCCCTCTCCTGTCAATATCATATGTTATAGCATTGTGCTACATACTCGCTGTTGTTTGACCTCGATGTTTAGCACATGATACAAAACTCCCAGGGACTTGTTCAAAACCAAACTTACAAGAACTTGTTTGCATGAAAACAAACCTGCCTTTTCATGTGATATAATTAGTTGAATGCTTTTTTTTTTTTCTTCCTCTTTTTACAGCAGGTTCAGC